CGGGAGTGCCGCCGCGCTCCCAAGCGCCGCACTCTACCGAGTGCGCCACCGGGCCGGCCCCTTAATTTGAAATTTTTTTAAATTTATTTTTTATTAGCATTTTCATTGTTACAAATCATACTTATTCTTTATGCCCCTTATCTATTCCCACTCCCCCCTTCTCCCCCTTCTTCTCCCCACTCTAATAACCACAGATTTGTTCTCTCCATCTTGTGGTTGGTAATTTTTTATGTGTTTTTGGCAACATGTATTTTTATGAATTACCTGTTAAGAACTTAGACTTTTTAAAATTTTGTTTTGTTGTTGGCAGTTGGCCGAGTTGGGGATCCAAACCCTTGACCTAGGTTTTACAATACCACAGTCTGCCAACTGAGCTAACCCTCCAGCCCCCAAATTTAGACTTTTAAAAATGTGGGCTCTTTCTTGTAACACCAAGGTCAAGAATTTGGATCCCTGCACCAGACAGCTGCCAAAAAAAAAAAAAAAAGGCTTTTTCTTATTGATGTGTAGGAGATTCTTTATATATAATAAGTACTTAAACATATTCATATAAATATATGTATATTACATATTAATATAATTATATGAAAACATTAAATATAAAAATGTATTCATAAATTAATACTTAATATTCATACACATAAATATAATTTTTATATGCATATATAAATTAGGCATCTTAAGTCTTTCTTATGTATATATAGCAAACATTTCTTCTTAATTTTTCACCTGCTTTTCAATTGTGTTTTATGGTATCTTTTGCCATCCAGAAGTTTTAAAATTTTACTTTTCTCAAATCAGCCAATCATGGGCTGGCTGGTTAACTCAGTTGGTTACAGTGCAGCCAAGGTCATGGGTTCAGATCCCCATACTGGCCAGCCACCAAGAGAAAAATAAATAAATAAAATCTGCCCATCTTTTCCTTTATTGCTTCTGGGTTTTGCATCTTGCTTTAGAAGATTTTATTCCTACCTCAGGATTATAAAAAATATTCTCCCATAAGATTTCTCATAATATTTTATTGTAGTTTTTCTTTTAAATTTAAAGCTACAATTTGTCAGGATTTAATTCTGTTTATGGTGTGAGGAAGGGATGTTTTTTCTTCCCAAATACAGAGCCAATCTAAAAGTCTTTAGAAACCTAGACATGGAATTAATTATTCAGCCAAATTTTATGCCTAACTCATAAGTGCGTAGTATGGTCCTGAGAATCTCATCTATGTCACCTGTTTGTGTGCCCACAACCCTACAAGAGAGATATTGAGAACCCATTTTCAGATGAGGACACTGAGGTCCAGAAAGATGCGGTGCCTGGGCCAGGCTCACCTAGGGAGTTCATGGGAGAAGGGAGGAGCTGGGCAGGGTGGGTGAGGGAGGGAGAACGAATTGGGATAGAGCCTGAACCGGGGGAGGGTACCTCGATCTCACCTCCAGGCAAGGACCAGTGTGCAGTCGGCCAGGATGCACATCTTAGCCAGCTCCTTGAGTGCCTGCTGAGGATCCTTCTGGAGGAGAAGAAAATCAGAATCAGAGACCTGGGAGAAAATGAGGAACTGTAGCCTGAAAACATGGTAGCTTAGATGCCAAGAGCCTTTTACTCAACTCACACTCCCTAAACTGCTCCTGGACACCCAGCCTATGCTGCGCAGTGCCAGGACCCAGCAGTGATGAGACAGCCCTGGCTCTGCCCTCCCAGCACTCAGCACTCCCAGGGCTCACAGTCTGATGAGGGGGACAGACCTGTCCCCAGACAGTGATGACCTGGAGTGGTCAGGGCTGGGATGGGGGAGCTAGAGGAACACCTCGGCCTGCCTGGGGGATCAGGGAGGGCTTCCTGGAGAAGGAGATACCTGCACTGAGACCTGAAGGAGGATGAGGAGGAGTGAAGGAAACAAAGGAGAGGAAAGAAATTCCAGACATAGAGAACAGCATGTGCAAAGGATGGGAGGGGACAGAGGGCTTGAGATATTGCAGTTTACTCGATATGGGACGGAGGATGTGAAGTGAAAGGGTGATCATGAGGAAGCTTAGAAGTGAACCCAGAGCGTAGGGTGAAGGTCAGATCACGCAGCGCCTCAGGGGCCACGGAGGGGAGCAGAGCTTTCTCCTAGAGTACTGCGGAGGCATGGAAGGGTTTTGAGTAGGGGAGGGCTGACATAAGATCTGTGCTTTAGGGGGCCGGCCCGTGGCTCACTCGGGAGAGTGCGGTGCTGATAACACCAAGGCCCCGGGTTCGGAT